AATCTTTTACTCTCAGATCTGGTACAAGACAAGGATATTTTCTATCTCCACTCCTATTCAATATAGTTCTGGAATCATTAGCTACAGCCATTAGACAAGAGAGAGAAATAAGAGGAATAAGAACAGGTAAACAAGAAGTTAAACTGTCATTATTTGAAGATGACATGATACTCTACTTGGAAGACCCAAAAAACTCCACCCAACAGCTACTAAAATTAATATACAAATTAAGTAGCATAGTAGGTTACAAAGTCAATACTCAATAGTCAATAGCACTCCTCTACACAGATAACACACACACTGAGAAACTGGAGAAACAATACCCTTTATGATAGCACTGCAAAAAATGAAATACTTCGGCATTAATGTAACTAAAGAAGTAAAACATCTATTCAATGAAAATTACAGTACACTGAAAAGGGAGACTGAGTAGGATTTCAGAAATTGAAAAGATATTCCTTGCTCTTGGATAGGAAGAACCAACATTGTGAAAATGGCCATACTCCCAAAATTGTTGTACAGATTTAATACAACCCCTCTCAAAATACTACCAACATACCTCACAGACCTAGAGAAATCATTCCTAAAATTTACTTGGAACCAGAAAAGACCTAGAATAGCAAAGGCAATCCTGGGCAATAAAGACAAGGCAGGAGGCATTACAATTCCTGACTTGAAATTATACTACAAAGCTACTGTCATAAAATCAGTATGGTATTGGCAAAAAAATAGACCCGAGGATCAATGTAATACATTAGAAGATGCAAAAGCCTCTACGAACACACTCAGCCACCTGATCTTCAACAAAGGGGCCAAACATGCTTACTGGAAGAAAGATAGTCTCTTTAACAAATAGTGCTGAAAAAACTGGCTCTCTACATGCTGAAAACTAAAACCTGACCCAGTTCTATCATCATACATTAAGCTAAAGTCAAAATGAATTAAAGATCTAAACATTAAAACAGAAACACTAAATCTCCTGGAAGAGATATTAGATGGAAATCTTGAAGACATAGGAGTAGGCAAATATTTCGTGAACAAACATCAAACTGCATGGGAAATACTTGAAAGAATTAACAACTGGGACCTCTTCTTATTGAGAAGTTTCTGCACGTCAAAAGAAATTACCAACAATGTGAAAAGACAGCCCACAAATTTGGAAAAAATCTTAATAATCACTCAGAAAAAGGTCTTCCATCTAGAATTTATAAAGAACTAAAAAACATTAGGGCTCCAAAATTTAAAGACCCAATCCAAAAATGGGCATGATGAATACACACTTCTCAGAGGAAGAAACACAAGAGGCAAATAAATACATCAAAAAATGCTCAACATCACTAGCCTTTCATGAAATGCCAATGAAAACAACATTGAGATACCATCTCACCCCAAAAAGAATGGCTATCATAAAGAAATCAACCAACAACAAATATTGGAGAGGCTGTGGGGGAAAAGGAACCCTCCACCACTGCTGGTGGGAATGTAGACTGGTGTAACCATTATGGA